TTTTTTTTTTTAATCGAAAGTACAACTCCTCAAGAATGTTGTCCTACAATTTCAGCTCATTTGGAGTTAAACTGAACGAGATATGGAGCCAAACGCCCCGCCCCTTCGAAAGCGGCCGAGCGCATCAAGCAGGTAGTCGAGCAAATTCGAGCGTCGGCTTGTTTACCAACGGTTTTCGGTGTCGGTTGAGTCAATTGTGTTTTCAACATTCTTTCGTACGGCCGTATTTCGGGATTCCATAGTTGTACTGTCAATTTTGAAGTTACATTTTGAACAAATATTTCGTAGATTTTTTTTAAATTTTGGAGTTACATTTTGAGCAAAAAAATGAATAAAAAGGTTTCGAGAGAAGATCGAAAGGCGACTAATGCAAGGCTAAGCAGACCAAGGAAATGACCAAATCCTAAGAGAAAAACGGACGATGTAACGACTGCGAGTACATCTGCAAAAAAACTGAAAACGCGGAACGAGATCAACGTACCTGAGAATGCCGAAAAACATTATCGAATTATTGATTTTTTACTAGTATTCTCGGTGATTTCAACTCTTGTGAAGTGCTCAAAGTGTGACGGGAAAATTCAATTTAAATCTTGCAGAAAAGAAGGTCTTGGGTTTAACATTCAAGTAAAGTGTGAACACTGCAAGATGCCTGTGTATATTCCGTCAAGTGAAAAAAATAGGCCGTATGTACGAGGTGAATTATAAATTTACTTTCGTTATGCGTATGTTAGGCTTAGGCTTGGCAGGCTGCAATAAATTTTGCGGATTAATGGACTTATCAAGTAATTTTTTAAGTAAGCAGTGTATAATTTTTATTTAAAAAGAATGTGTGATGAAATAAAATCCGTCGCAGAATCATTGTATTCCATGGCTGCTGCACAAGAAAAAAAAGAAACGTGCGAAGAAAATGAAATAGAAAATACAACCAATTTGACTGTTTCCGGTGATGGCACGTGGCAAAAGCGTGGTTTTTCGTCATTGTACGGTGTTTCTTCGCTTATTGGATATTCCACGGGAAAAGTCATAGATATTTGCGTGAAAAGTGGGGTCTGTCAAATGTGTAAACTTTGGGAAACAAAATTAAATTCAGTGGAATTCGAAGAATGGCACGAGAATCACGTAGAACTTGGTGAATGTCAAGCAAATCACGTGGGACCTTAATAATCTATCAGTTCCTTTTCGTGGTACATATTCAACATAGAAAATATTCGTTATATGTACGTTCACTTTGAACTGGCACATTTAGTAATATATCAGTTACTTTTCGTGGTCATCATATATTATATTAGATAATCGTTTTAATTTAGGAAGGATCAAATTTTTGCGGTTAGTTTTCAAAGGTTTAAATTTGTTGGGTTTTTTAATTTGCGAGGTAAATATTATGTCGGCGACGGAGATAGCAAAACGTACACCGGCGTAATTCAATCCAAACCATACGGCGATGATTTTATAATACATAAAAAAGAATGTGTCGGCCATGTACAAAAAAGAATGGGAAAACGGTTATGTGATGTTGTAAAAAACACAACAGTAGAGACAGAAATAAAAACAGGAAAAAAAGCTGGTCAAAAAAGAAGGAGCAAAAGTCTCGGCGGAAAAAGAAAACTTACGTCTAAAACAATCCTTAAATTAACGGTCTATTATGGTTTAGCAATACGTAGAAATTGTGATTCGGTGAAAAAAATGAATGATGCGATTTGGGCGACCTTTCTCCATTACAAGTCCACGAACGACGATCCACAGCATCATAAATGTCCTGCCGGCGCTGACTCTTGGTGCGAGTATCAAAAAGCTTTGGCCACCACCGGAATAGAAGATTTTCACCACGACTATGAACCTTTTCCGGATGAGGTGATAACAGCAATCGAGCCAATTTATGAAGATTTGAGCAAAGACGAGCTTCTACAACGTTGTGTTGGTGGATTTACCCAGAACAACAATGAAAGTCTGAATCAACTAATTTGGAGAATTAGTCCAAAAATTTTAGCCAGCAGCCCTACGATAATAGAAATTGCAGCAAATGCAGCTGCCTGCACCTTCAATGAAGGTTATATTGCATTGCTAGCATTTCTTGAAGAGATGAAAATCAGTGTCGGCCCAAGTGCTCATGAATACGTAAAAACATTTGACAAATCTCGAATTTTGAAAACTGAAGAAAAGGCTGCGCTTCAGAGAAAAGAAGCCAGGATTCTGAGAAGAATGGAGCAAAAGGATGCTTTAGACCTCGCAAATGCAGCAGGAACACTGCTTTATGGTGCTGGTATCGACGACTCTATGTAAGTGCGAAAAAACGATTTTTATTCTTCAAATTTTTTTACTATAAACTTTAAACGCGTTTTTCTCAAAACGACTTTTTTGAAGTCGGTGTCCGCGATAACTCAAAAATTTGTGCACCGATCGGTTTGAAATTTTGCACACTTCTTTAATATATATTTGACTACCAGTCAACGATCCCCTTTTATTTATTTTTTTTTTCTAATCGATTGTACAGCGACAAAATGGCGCCTGTTTTAGGCTAAAAATCGTACTTTTACCTTCATCGATCGTAAAAAAAAATGAAAAAAAATTTTTTTTAATAAAAGGGCATCGTTGACTGTTAGGTATACTTCCAAACAACTAATTTTTTTCTAATCCCATGTGTTTCAGATGATGCTACGATTTTTAATCCGGGACACCGCAAGGGGTATAATATTTGACATGGCCTAGCTGAAGTGGCTGCAACTCCGCGATTTCTTGATATTTCTTCATAAAAAAATTCATTAAGATACTTCCCATGTTACTGAACAATGTCTTATTAAAATTATTGCAAAATATTTAGTAGTTTTGTAAAAAAAAATGTGTAAAAAATGCTTTTTTTTTTTGCCAATTATCCCATACCCCCCCCTTAAGTATATATGGTGCACCACTTTAATCTTACGCGTAACATACTCTCCCCATTGAGAGAGTATCGATCAATCTTACGCATGATTGTATGAAATTGTCATAATTTACGCATACGAGTTGTTACATAAGTTGCGCATGTGCTTGGCCATTACGCGTGTTACGCATGTGTTACATTGTTGTTCGCGTTTTTTCGCATGAGCCGCCGCCTCAGAAGTCTTTCGACTAATTATGATTCTATTGGCAGCGGACAGAGCAGCCTTGTTGCCCTTTTTATTTCACCAGTCGCTGTTCTGATGGTGGCTACTCGAGCGACTTCGTCCTCGCCTTGGTGTAACTCCGAAATTCTGCTCAAGAGCCATTGTGTGCATGGCAGGCCCTTGTTTTTAATGAGGACGACTGCTCTAACTTGAATCTTTGGTCCGTTGGTAGTCTATTTATTACGTTTCTGGAGCTCATTTAAATATTCCAGGTTCCAGCGTGACCAAAATCCTGTCGCATGTTTGTGATGTGCTGCCATTTTGACAGGCGATTAGCTGTAACAGAGAGCAAATTGCCCTCGGGAAGGGCTGTTAGTGGCTGACCAATGAGGTAATGAGCGGGTGTCAAAGCTAATATATCATTCGGATCTGATGAAAGAGCCGTGATCGGTTTGGAATTAAGAATGCCTTCGATCTCGACAATAAACGTATTGAGCTCTTCGAAGGTATATAGAGCCTCTCCTATGACACGCTTAAAATGATGTTTGAAGAGCTTCACTGACGATTCCCATAATCCACCGAAGTGGAGGGCCGCGGGAGGAATGAAATGCCACGAAATCCGATATTCGCTCCTAAACCTATTCACGGCCTCCTTGTGTTGTTCTGAATTAAAGATCGTGTACATTTCCTTTAACTGACTATTCGCTCCCACGAAGTTAGTTCCGTTATCGGAATACACGTTTTTCGGCAAGCCTCGTCTTGACACGAACCTTCGCAGCGCGGCAATGAACCCATCGGACGACAAATCGCTCACGAGTTTGAGATGGATCGCTTTGATCGCCATGCATACAAATACGCATACGTATGTTTTAATCTTTGTCCGATTGCGATATTTTTTCTCCTTTATGTGGAACGGGCCGCAAAAGTCGATGCCCGTATTAGCGAATGGTATCGCTTCGCGTACGCGAGTCGGAGGAAGATCGCTCATTTTGTATTCTATCGTATCGGCGTTGTGACGAAAACAGCGAACACACCCGCGTACTATTTTTTGTACCTGGTTTCGACCATCTAATAACCAGAATCTTTGCCGGAGAATGTATAGCGTAGTTTGAATGCCTGCGTGGTGGTGCGTTTCATGTATCTCACGAATGATACAATCCGTTAAATGCTGTCGACTGGGAAGTAAGACCGGATGCTTTTGTGAAAACGTGAGTTGCGATTTACGGAGACGTCCTCCCACCCGAATCAATCCATGATTGTCGACAAAAGGACTTAAATTAGCGAGCCTACCTTTATTTAGGGAATCCTTGTTACCTTCGAGTTTTTTAATTTCATCACCGAACGTCGTTGCTTGAAGGGTTTTCAATACTCGTGTTTCTGCCTTGTTAATTTCCGCGGCGCTTAAAATTCCGCTGATTTTATTATCGCTCCGCCAACGTAGGCAATAAGCGATAATTCGGAGCAACTTTGAATATGACGAACATTTTTTGAAAATTTCGAGATCGTTTACAGTCATTAACAAACAGGTATTTTTTCTTAGTTCAGGTATTTCTATCGATTGCGCAATCTGAGCCGGCCACTTGTCTTCGTCTCGGTTTAACCAAGAAGGTCCTACGAACCAAATCTGATTTTGTAAAAGTGCATGAGGTAATTGCCCCCTTGATATCGCGTCGGCCGGATTATTTCGTGAACTAACATGTCGCCATTCATGCGAACCCGTGATTTCTTGAATCTCCGCAACCCGGTTCGATACGTATGTCTTGAGTAAATGCGGCGATGTCTTTATCTAATGCAAAGCGACAGTCGAGTCGCTCCAGAAGATCACCTTATCGATCTTAACCCCCAATGAGCTATATGTTTCACGAAATAATCGCGCTAGCAACAATGCACCGCATAACTCCAGTCTGGGTATCGTGATGGTCTTTAGCGGCGCGACTCCCGACTTGGCACATATCAATCTAACGATCGTGTTTCCTTCTCTATCTCTCGAACGCGCGTATAAGCATGCACTGTAACCTGCTTCGCTTGCGTCACAGAACCCATGTATCTGGATGTCTTGGTAATCCGCTACGTACAATCTACGTTCGAAAGAAACTCAGCCCATCGACTCCAACTGTTGCACAAATTGCATCCATTGTGTATGTATTTCTTGCGGGACCGACTCATCCCATTGGACGTTGCAACGCCACACGTCTTGCATCAATCTCTTAGCATAAAAAACTACTGGACCCACCAAACCAAGTGGATCATATATTTTCGCGGTTCCAGATAGAATGATCCGCTTTGTGACTCGATTCGATATGTTAACAGGGTAAGCTACGTAACATATTTTGTCTTCGCGCGCATTCCACGTGATTCCCAACGTTTTTAACGAACGATCCATATCTACGACGAAACTCGCGTGCAATGCATCGCTTGCCATGCCTTCTATGATCCGTTCGTCGTTGGACGCCCACTGTCTAATGGTGAAGCCGCCTTTAGCTAACAACGCGGTGACTTCGCTTCGAATAGTCCGAGCGTCATTAATGGTTTCCGCGCCTGTCAGCAAGTCATCTACATACTACCATGATCAAAAAATAACCGGAATTTGTAATTTAAACCTCGCGGGCTTATCGGTTTTGAATTCTGTTGTTTGTGTCACGTTGACAGCACTGTTACGGACACCCATGCCAAGCTTCTTCTTATCAGCTGTTCATTTACCTCTACGGCAGTGATTTGTTTACATCAAGTTTTTACGTCGCGGCGATTTTTACAATGGATTTAAAACTTGAACAACGTACTTGCATTAAATTTTGCTGTAAAAATGAAATTAAGTGTTCCGACACATTAAATGCGTTGGATGACTGTTGGGTCGGAATCGACCATGGAAACCATCTCTTTTGAAATTACAGCGCGATGCAATTTTTGCACGAAATTCAGTTCTTTTGCACCAATCTCGCAGTGACTCGACTCAGACCCAAATCCTCACGCAAAATGCTCTGAACGGATCCGAATGATATGTTGGTGGTCTCAGCTATCTCCCTTATCGTCAATTTGCGATTTTCGATCAACAATTGTCGGATTTCATCGACGTTTTCATCAGTTTTCGATGTCGATGGCCTCCCAGGACGAGTATCGTCCTCAACAGCCTCACGACCACTTTTGAAGCGTTCATACCACTGGTACACCTGTGTTTTCGATTGAGTATCGTCACCATAACACTTTTGTAACATATTTAATGTGTCGGAACACTTAATTTCATTTTTACAGCAAAATTTAATGCAAATACGTTGTTCAAGTTTTAAATCCATTGTAAAAATCGCCGCGACGTAAAAACTTGATGTAAACAAATCACTGCCGTAGAGGTAAATGAACAGCTGATAAGAAGAAGCTTGGCATGGGTGTCCGTAACAGTGCTGTCAACGTGACACAAACAACAGAATTCAAAACCGATAAGCCCGCGAGGTTTAAATTACAAATTCCGGTTATTTTTTGATCATGGTAGTATAGGTGTCCCTTTAAAATCTCCGCTGCGCGAGGGTGAACATGGCATTCGTCGTCCGCGAGTTTATGGATCGTGCGAATTGCAAGAAGGGTGATGAAGAGACACCGAAAGTAAGCGTGTTGAGTCGAAATGTCTCAACCTTTCCGTTCACACGCCAGAGGATTTTTTGGAATTGCCGATCATTTTCGTGTACCAACACCTGTAAATACATCTTTTGAATGTCTGCCGTCAGAACATATTTGTACGTCCGAAATCGTACTAAATGCGTGAACAATTTTGCTTGGATCGTGGGTCTTACAATTACCACGTCATTTAACGATAAGTTGCTGCTTGTCCTCACGGACGCATCGAACACTATCCTAAGTTTCGTGGTGTAGCTTGATTCCTTTATTACCGCGTGATGGGGCATGTAATAACCGTTATTTTCGGAATCATTTAATAATGTTATGTATTCCAATCGTATATATTATTCGATCACCCGCGTATATTCGTCTTTGAACGTCTCGTCTGCGTTAAATTTGCGCTGTAAGGAGGATAAACGTTTGAGTGCGGCCATACGCGATTCACCTAAACATTCGCTTGTTGTGTAAAAAGGCAAGCGAACAGTATAACGTCCGTCTGAGGCGCGCGATACATTTTCTAAAAAATGCGCTTCGCACTGTTTTTTTCTCGAGACGACGGTCTTTCTAACGTAACTTCCTCGATCTCCCAAAACTTAGCTAACTGTTTTTCCAAATTGGCAGGTCGCGGAACTGAGACACTTGCGACGGCGCGCTTCCGGCGATTATCCATCCTAACCTAGTTTTCTGCAAATGTAAGTCGTGACCTTCACGGGATAGGTTGATATGTCCGACGGAGAACAACGATAGCGATGCACCTGATTAGCAAGTCGATTGGCCGCGGGATATGAAACTCCGGATCCGCGAGCCTAATATTTGACGGTATGTGTATTGAGTTTCGCGGGAAAACGTCGACAGGGACCAAATCTGTTATGGCCGGCACTGTCAAACACGTCAGTGTTTTAGAGAAATCATCGTGCATTGATTGAATAGTAATTTGCACTCTTGACCGCGTGCTCGTAGAATTAATCGCGCTTATCAACATCGATTGCTTGAACATGCGCAACTTCAATCGTCTTACAACGGACTCCGAGATCAAATTCGCGGTAGCACACGTATCTAAGAGCGCTCGACATTTGGTATTATTATTCTCTCTGCAGCGCATATAAACCAACGCACTCGTCATTAATTGCGGCGCGAAACACGACATAGACGTGAGACTCATTGTTCTACGGCCGGACGATCCGTATTGTCATTTAGGAACGGTAATTTCAGTACTTGACGAATCGGATTTCGTTACGTGCTTTTCCAAATGCAGGAGTGTATTATGCTATTTCTGGCATATCGTACAACTGGAAAATTTGCAAGGCGTCCCGCGATGGGATCGCAAGCAATTATAACAAAGGTTCGCGCTTTTGATTTTCTCGATACGCTCGGAGACAGGCAGTTGCTTGAATTTTTCGCAGAGATAGAGCGGATGTCGTTTAACCTTACACGCTATGCAATTTCGCGACACCTTCGCCACGAAAGCTTTATTTGATGAGCCGGTTCGCAATTTTTTAGCCGGTGGTTCGCCCTTGCATCTTTCCGTGTCGGATATTTTTGCCTTTTCGCGTCGCGATGCACAAACGGCGATTTTGTATAAGAATTCGTATAGCTGCTCGGGTTTAGGAAATTCGTCCCTTTGTAACGTCGCTTCCCATTTGTCTAACGCGGATCTCGGCAGTTTACTCTCTATGAGATACACGATCATTTCGGGCCCGACCGTAACACCCAGGGTGGCTAACGACGCGACATGTTGTTGTACGTCATCGGCCATCAAACCGCTCGTATTTTCTTTTTCTAGTGTGGGCAGATTGACTATCATCGAGAGATGTCGCGAGATCAAAATCCGTTTTACCTTATAAGCACGTACTAGTAAGTTCCACGCGCTAGAATAACTTATTGCGTCTACTGAAAAAATCTTTATTATATTCGCGGCCTCGCCCTTTAATGCCGACTTAAAATAATGTAACTTATCTACGTCCGATAAGTCTGTTTGATTCCCTATCATGTTGGTAAACGCATTTTTAAACGCGAGCCATTCTTCAAATTTTCCATCAAATGTGGGTAACGGCGCTTCCGGTAATTTCATACGCCGAATTTTTGTTACTGAAACACTAGACGCGTTGTCATTACGAGTTCCTACGCTTGCCGTGTCGCAATTATTGTCCGACGTGTTTGCTACGTTCAAAATACTTTCGATTCTGCTCGCGAGAGTATAGTACCGATCTTGAACATTCGTAAATTCCGTCAAGTGGTCACCGCTTGGGTCTAATACCAGAAGCTCGTCATGAAACTCCTCGTAAGCATGATATACATCAGTCAAGTGAGCGATACGCAACTTCAAAGTGATATTATCGATTTTACCTTTGTCGAGGGCATTCGTTAGACCCGTGATTTGTGCCTTCAAAGATGTACGTTTTTGTACGAGAATTTTGATTCTCTCAGCCATCTTTGCGATTGATAGCAAATCAAATGATTGACGCAATTAGTTGCACCGCTGATATTCTTCTGTTTTTCCGTATGTCTTATATCTTGCTTGAATGGCGCGATTCCGTCGAGAGGCAGCACAATCGTCCAGAGGCCGCACGGACCTCACAGGAGGCACCAAAATGTTTTGTAGGATCGGCGCAGGCAATTTCTCGCCTACACCGTGTTTTCGCGTAAGCGTTTTCTTTTGTCTCTGACACAAGCGTCTCTCACACAAGCAACAGGAAATAAACACTTTTTAATGTTTGTTATAGTTTATTATAGATCACACGTCACAATCAAGAGATCATCAATAACCGAAGCTCACATCATAGTTTTAATATGTTTAAAATGCTCAACCGAAACTACCCACAATATGCTCGACGCACGTGGCAACGCCTTGGTGCCGTAGCCTTGAGCCACGTCGTCGATTCGCCTTGCACTTTCGTTATACGCACGTTTAACAACTAGCGAACTCAGCAACGCCTTGGGGCCGTAGCCCTGAGCAACGCTTTTGTGGATTTTCCACAGAGGAACGCTGAAGCACGTGTTTATCTCGCTTTTCCTTCACCGCAGTCGTATACTCGACCGATCCCACGAGAGGAAAAAAACGGAAGCCCGTTCGTAGGAAGAAGCCGGAAGCTCGTTCGTGCCGATCGCGCGAGAGCCGATCCCTCCCGCTCCCGGCCGAACGTGTTCGAATTTTATCGACCTCTGATCCACGGCAAAGAAGTCGCGGACAGAGCGCGGTCTTATCGTGAGGCGCGGGAAAGAGTCGCGCGAAACCCCCGTCGACAACGCCGCGTCCCCACCTTCCTCTTACCGCGCGATTACGTTATATGTATGTATATATATATTCACCAACGCCAATTACTTAATCGACTGTGAAACTGATCAATCACATTTGCTGTTTAGTAGAACCATCTTTAAAAACCTACGTGATGTTATCCTTATTTTGATAAAAAACCGTTTGGGCCAGTTAAATTCTATGATACATTGCACTTCCTCCCTCTTCTTCTTCTCCCTCCTCCCATCCTCACTACTCATTTTTTTCGTTGTATTTCATTATCTTGTCATATAATATGGATTTTTTCCATAAAATATATAAGAGTGCGTGCTTTTGATAAAAAAACCGTTTGGGCCAGTTAAATTCTATCTCTAAAGATCTAAGAGGTATACTATCTTTACACTTATTTAATTCTAATGACATGTATCATTTGTGTAAAAGATTTGATATCAACAGTCGGCGTCAAATTAAACCGTTTGGGCCAGTTAAATTCTAAAATAAAAAGTAAAACACAAGTGGTACCTTTAATCTTTAAGAACCCATATAGTACTATTATTTAAACAAATAATACAATCTTATTTTACGACCGTACATTGTTAAACAATAACAAGAAAGAAGGAAGCACAAAGCGAAGCCTATCGGTCAAAGCTAGATCAAGATGCTTATTATCATTAAGTGTGAATTTATATACCGCGTATGTAGTTCTGTCAATCACGTGCCGAACATTTTTTCAGACTTACAACGCAACTCTAAATAACTACCGCGGTAATATCACTTTAGTTAGATTGACAATACAATCTAACAAATTTCGATGCTTATAGCATCTTATTAGATCTTAATAATATGTTGAAAGACATATATTAAAATTCAATATTAAATTAATGATAATTGAAAACTGTGAAAAATAAGATTGCGAAGAATATCACAAGTT